CTTGTGGAATGCCAGCACGAAAGGGAGCGTCTTCCGCTAGAAACATGCACCTGGGACACACAACCCTTTTCACAAAAAGAAATCACGCTTGTCTGTCTCGGTCAATTTTCAATTGACTTTCCTTGTTTAAACTTTTGACCACTGTTGAAGCTGAAACAAGAAACAAGCATCGATCTTTCCCCCAGGTTTGGATCGTCAATGACTGCACACAGTTATATGGATTTAGCTTCAAACACCTCAGCTGGAAATGGAGACTCTGGAGCACCAAAACTTTCACCACCATCACAAACAAGCTTCTTCCCTCCAAATCCTCAAGTTCCTCCAGCTCCAAGACTTTATCACCCTCGAGGTAAAAAGAGCTCCAAACCATCACTTAATCTTTTTTCTCTTCTTTTTCAACTCAAATCCTCCAAACTGTTCCAGGCATGGCGATCCTGTCTTGTCGAATGTCTCGCAACCATAGCCTTCGTCTTCTCCAGCATACTCATCATCGTCAGCTCCTCGCAGCAAAGCAGCAGCGGATCACCCATGGCTTCCATCGCGATCCTCCACTCCATCCTCGTCTTCATCATCATCCTCTCCGTGGCTCCCTCCTCTGGTGGTCACTTCAATCCTTGTATCACCTTCCTGGCCATGGTTCTCGGCTATGTCTCCCCCTCCAAGCTCGTCATGTACACGGGAGCTCAATGCGTCGGCTCCATCTTCGCTTCCCTGTGTGCGAAGCTCGTCCTCCCTGACGACCTCGCTCTTAAGTTCGCGCTTGGCGGCTGTGTCATGCAAAACTCGGCCGGGTCAGGACTTTCAATAGGCTCGGCCTTCGTCGCCGAGAGCATGTTCACGTTTGTTCTCATGTTCGTCGTCGCCAACCTGGCACTAGATCCATTCCAAGGACGGGCTTTTGGAGCAATCCTGCCACCATCTTTCATCGGCGCTGCTGTTGGACTGCTGATTTTCGCGTCTGGGGGACTTGTGGTGGGATACTCTGGAGCGGGGATGAATCCGGCAAGGTGTCTCGGCCCGGCAGTCGTGATGGGATCAAGTTCCACTCGAGATGGTCACTGGGTATGGTGGATTGCTCCTTACTCTGCCACTGTGATGGTTTCGGTTCTCTACTGCCTGGTTCCACCACACCACGCGTTGTATCGCGGCCGCGAGGACTTAGACTTAGTAAGCAGCGTCAAGGAAGCCTTTCACCCTCCAATTGTTGTGAGCTGAAACGAGTGAATCGAGTTAACCGGGTGAAAGCTCAAGTGGTGTACTGACCGTAAATTATTAGTGCCTCTATACAAATCAAGTTTTCCCTAGACCATTTGAAACTCTTTGCTGTTTCTTCCACATAAATCTTCCACAGCCAGTTTTTCGGACAGGACATTGCCCGCTCTGGCTTGAATGAGCAATTCACGTGGTTGTGAAATTTACAGCGAGAACAAGTAATTATGCTTCAACAAAGAAGAATTTTGTGACAGATGTAATGATGACAATGAATAAGCTAAATTGTGACCATGGCCCCACTTAGTTTGAAATGCTTAGCAATGGTTTGGATCTACCTAAAGCTATTTACTATTCTTCAGGTTTCTATAATTATGGCAGAGTAACAAGAAATAAAAAAAATTTATTCCTCTCGACCTCAAACAAACGACTGCCACATTCTTGTGAGAGCTGCAGGTCCCGATTCACTCCAGGACTTTTGCATCCCACGAAAAAACATCAATGAAGGTTTCACCAAGTGCAGAGGTATCTTCAAAATACTTCCATTTGAGCTTATTCCGCGCCAAGGTGGACACCTCTGATTTCGCTCAAGCGATGGTCAGCATGGGATTGTCTGGGTGCGAAACTATCTCGATCCCAAGGGAGTTGCGAGAGCTCGCAGTCATCCTCGGGCGAGGAAGCTCGTCTATGTAGAGAAGGGATTGTGGTGGGCGGCTTTGTGGACACAAGTTCAGTTACAAGGTCTTGGAAAAGTTGCATGAGATTGAAAATTTGAAAATTGGGATATTCGTTTTTTTAGGGTGTATCGGAATGTCGACAGCCTCGCACGCATCGATCCTGCGCCAGCACCTGCAGAGCGAGATTTCCAGGGATGGATTGATACCTTGGCAATCTCCTCGTCCAGGCATTGTCAATTGCCATGCCACACGAGCCCCAGCACCTTGTCGGCATAGGCAGTGAGCATGATCATCCAGGAGAAGATATTTCGGCACTGGATGCGATCGAAAACCTCCCTGGCATCGCGGATGCCGCCGCATTTGCCATAGGTGACACTCGTCAGTCGTGCGCCATGGCCGGGGGTCTGGAAAGGGCCGCGGGATCCACGCCAGTGCGCGTATGAATCCAAGATCGTTGTGGCTACTGCGCTCGTTAGCATGTATGGGAAGTGTGTATGGCATCAAACACATACCTTGCTTCTTCCACCGTTTCCATACATGCTAACCAGCGCATTGGCAAACGGCATGTTGGATCCAAATCCACTCTCCGCAACCTCCCATTATCACCTTCGCCCTTCCAGCCATCAAGAATGCTGACAAAGGTGGTAGATTCCCTCGAAACACGTGAGATAATAGCCCATCTGGACGACAGACTAGTGTTGGTTATCCCTGTGGCAGCTCCGGACGAAGACTCGGAGGGGGACAAGGTCCCCTCCTCGTCCTCTACATCCGGGCAAGGTAAAACTGGGTGTGATAAGCCATACAACAGCTACGGGTTTAACCACACGGCAATTTCTAGCGAGGCCGCCGCCGCCACCACTGCGAGAAGCGGCGGTGTGAGCAGCGCCAAGCCTGCTTTTACAATTGCTGGCAAACGGGTGTACGAAACAATTCATTGGTAAATAATTGGTGGCAGGAGTCAAGAACTTAACCAGTAACTCCACCATCACCCAAAATGTTTCGTCCATGGGCTTCCTCATAGCCCCCGCCACCAGTGCCGCCGCCACCATCACATCCTTCTCTCCGCCGCTTCTAGCTCTGGTTCAAGTTCGGCTCCAGCTCCGGCTCCTCCGGCAGCTCCAGCATGGGTCAGTCCCTTTCAAGCTCAGCAGGCTTCGGTGTCGACGAGCGATGAGATCTCGGGGCTTTTCAGGTCTGATCATATAATGTAATCCATTGTCGTCTAGTCCGGTCAGGATACCTGGCTTTCACTCAGGCGACCCGGGTTCGAATCCCGGCAATGGAACAATCGCGCAGATCAGATAATTAGGTTTATATTTTTGTGTTTTAGTGCATTTAGCCTTCATCAACTCACAGATGCCATGGCTCAAGATCAATCCGGTCTTAGCAGCTCTCTTCCTCTTCCTCTCACTTGCACAAATCTTCCCAATGTCGTACATAACAGCATCAGTCAAGGACTTTTGCATTCCAAGTGGACGTTCTGCAAGCCATACTCTCAGATATCTTCAAAGGACTTCTACTCAAGTGGGCTTTGCAACGGACCCAAGTCCTTTGCTTTGTCCCAAGCTATTGTGAGCACATTTCCACTAATGGGGCTCATCTCGGCCCATTTGTGGACTTGAAGAACAACTTGAAAGAGGCTGATCTATTTGTTATACCCAAGGCGTGCTTCACTATATCATGAATGTGGGAGATCGCAAGTTGTAGTTTTGGGCTTTCCAAACAGCCATGCCTTGCAGATCTCATCCTTATCACTGTTTGGACCAAAGCTGCCGATAGCCTCACATTGATTGCACGAAAATTTTAAGGACAATGCCGTTATCCAATCTCTTGCCTGACAAAGATGATCCGCCGATGCCCATGAAACCCTCTTTCCCCTCGAACGCCGGAGCCTATTGTCGTGTGGCCGCATCATCGCCAGGACCCAAATCCCGGGGGCAACGAAGTGGTGGCCGCCATTCACAAAATAGAGGCTAAAGAACTAGACGTCGATTTGCAAAAAAATTGCCTGGGGAGTTAATTCATATGTTGTTTAGAATTGTGGCAAAACGAGAGCTCTCTACTCTCAAGAGATTACATTCTTGTCGTCACATCCAGGACTTCAAGAGAGTAATCAAAGATTTTCAAATCACATATGATCAGAAACTCTGGTTTTATATGAGAGCTTGAAAGGCTTGGGTTTTTATGCTGGAGAAATTTCTTCACAATCTCAAGGCAACGGTTTCTGAGAAAACGGAGTGGTGTAATAGAAGTTGCAATCCCCGCCCAGGTGGTATCCACAAGTTGATCGTTTTGTTCCACCTGGAGCAAAACCCTAGCCTCGTCATGTGATTGTCATTTTGTCTTAAGGTATATTTGCAAAATGTAAAGATTATCTTGAACATTATGGTGTTGTTTTCTTTTTTAAATTTGCAAGTTTCATTTCATATATTTAGTGGGATAATCACAAACTTACTAAATAGACACTTTTCATAAATAACCAATGGGACCAAATAAGATTAGTAAGGCATGATAGTAAAAGTGTTTAACACCCACATTAAATTATCATTTAACGATATTAAGGGACTAATGTCAATATGCAAGGGTTCTTAGCAAGCCAATGCAAGATTACACTTAAATCCATAACATTCTTGTGAGCGTGAGATCGAACAACACCAACACAGGGCCCTTCCAGAGCAAGGGATTCCTCACCACAACAACAAGGTATAGAGACTATGGCTGGCCATCTTTTGGAACGTCATTCATTGCATGCTAAACAAACTTCTTATAAATCTTATGCAACTTATCAATGGTCCTCCTGGCTAGACTAAAAGTCACCTCCAAAACCTTGTAACTCAACTTGGGTCCAAACAAAGAAAAGGATGGGATCTGGAAGGAAAGATTCTTGCTATTTAAAATGGCCAAAACTATAGTGTGATCTTCTTCAATGTTGATCAAATAGTGAAGAACTCCACGGGAAATTATAAAAAAATCACTCGCAGTCAAATTCCTCGCAAAGAGCCCGTTGTTAATGTCCACAAAGCCGGCCTCCACAAATCCCTTCTCCAAATAGATGAGCTCGCTTGCCTGAGGATGAGCGTGAGCTCTCGCAACTCCTTTGGGGCCGAGATAGTTTCATGCCACGGACAATCCCATCGTGTTGAGTGCCAGAAATGTGCTGACAACAGCTTGAGCGAAATCAAACGCGTTGGGCTTGTGTGAGGTATCCACCTTGCTCGAGTGGAAGTCTTTTGAAGATACCTTTGAGTACGGCTTGCACTTCATGAAACCTTCACTAATATTGTTCCGTGGAATGCAAACGTCCTCGGGATCTGCAGCTCTCACAAGCACAAGAATGTGGCAATCGTTCAAGGATGAGAAAATAGAGAAAGCAATTAAAGTGAATACATTTGCATAGCCATGAGTGATTTTATTTGCTGTCGTGATTTGGACGCCACGTAAAAGCTGGTATTGCAAAGCCAAGTCAAAATTATTAGTAATAGGGCAAAGAAATACGAATATATAGTTTATTGAGAATAACTATATATCTGGTGATACAAATGTATAAAAATTCTTAAAGCATTTAAATAACAAATAAGCTTATAAGGAAAAATTAAATAAAGAAGAATCTTCAACAATTTATTGCTACAGAGATTAGATTGAATCTTGTCGCTTAATACATGAAAGGATGGAACGCTTAGAAACCCTCATGCTTGAAGTATAAATAGCATATAGATAGATATGTCTGTATGTATCAAGCTTCTAAACGAATTCCTTATAAATTTCGTGCAGCGCATCAATGGAGGCTGAAGGACGCTTCCAGGACTTCATACGGCAGCTTTGGTCCAAACAATGCAAAGGACGGGATCTGGAAGGCAGGATTCTGGCTGTTTAGAAAGCCCAAAACTACACTTTGTGTCGCTCCCACATTCATGATATAGTGAAGCATGCCTCGGCCTCTTTCAAGTTGTGAGCAAAGAGCTTGTTGTTTGAGTCCACAAATCCAACCTCTATAACACCTTTTTCAACATCAACAAGCTCGCTTGCCCGTGGATGAGCGTGACTTCTCACCACTCCTCCTGGCCCGAGATAGATCCGAGCCACTGAAAAGCCCATTGTGTTGAGCCCCGGAAATGTGCTCACAATAGCTTGGGAGAACGCGAAGGACTTGGGTGGGCTCGAGGCAACAGCACCGTCTCGAAGCACACTAGAGTAGAAGTCCTTTGAAGATACCTGGGAACGACTGGAACGTCCATTTGGAATGCAAATGTCCTCGACTGGATCTGGATCGGACGCTGTTACAACATTGAGAGGGAAGATCTTTGCAAGTGAGAGGAAGAGGAAGAAAGCTGCCAACAGCGGATTGATCTGGAAAGCCATAGCAAAATCTGTATAGTTGATGAAGGCTACAATGTTCAGAGGCTTTAAATCAGTGGGGTCGGAATATTTGCACGTTTTGAGACTTGCAAACAGTCTACGAACTAAAGCCACAGAAAACTAATATATGTACTTTATCATCTGTATCTTAGACTTTTAATCCATGTTACGGTGTCTATACGCTGTTAGATCTATACCTAATCGTTTTAAAATTAAATCTCTCTATGTAGATATGTACGTGATCTCTGAGATTGTTGCCTTGGTGAAAGCCTGGCTAGTTCATAGCATAATCGCAAGGTTTGTTTTTTTGTTGCCAATGCATGTTTAAAATTTAGATAGTAGAATTGATCTTTTTCTTATATAGGTTTGAGGTTTGGTGTGCATGGTTGTCTAGAACTTCCGCTTGGAATACAGAAGTCCTCGACTGGATCTAGATTCGACACTGTCACAACATTGAGAGGGAATATCTGTGCAAGTGAGAGGAAGAGAGCTGCCAAACCTGATCTTGAGAGCCATGGCAAGATCTGTGAGTTGATGAGGGCTATACAATGTTTATTCTAGTTTTGCACGTTTATGATATAATGGTAAAATGCTGTTCAAAGACTTTCAGACGTGATAGTTCTACAAATAAAATGTTTGCATTGCCTGGATATGAACCCGAGCCGCATGGGTGAAAGCCACAGGACTATAGCACAATGGATTACATACAGTGATTATGCTTTATTTCGTTAAAATGGGACTTATTCAGTAAAGTGGGACATTAATTAGCATGTGTCCACATGCCATTTCCTAGTACTTAATTAATATTTATTAATATTTCTATCAGTTTTTTAATTTATTTTTTTATATTTTACAATATTATAACACAAAATCATATGAAAAGTTTTTAATTTATAAATTATAAAGTTAAAACTTCAATTTTTTATTGTTGTTATAAAAATGGCATGTGGCCACACACCATAAGTGGGATAATGAAAAGTCCCACTTTAACGAAATAAAGCATGATTTAGTTCATAGAATAATGTGGGAGATTGATTTTTGTTGCTTGGAAGGCACAATGTTGAACTTCTGAGTTTCGAGGAAGGAGGGAGGACTGGGCTTTGACGTTGACACAAAATTCTAGAGGTCTTTGACTACTGAATAAAACTTCAAAATTAATTCCATGGAAGGCTCCCTGGGCCTGTGGCATCTCTCTAACACGCTGGTAAGCTTCGCCAAATCCCCCAATGCCTTCAAGCGGCGGACGTGGTTCCCCCTCCCAATCCCCGGCTGCGATGCCTCTGGATCCTCCTCCTTGCCGTGCTCATCTTCCTCGCCACGCAAATCTCCCACATCACCGACGACCTCTCAAAACTTCTTAAGATCGGGATTTCCTTCTTACATCGCCCAAATTATTATGATTAACTGTTATTCATAGAATTGTGGCTTATGCCACAAACAAATATGAGCTCTGTAATCTCAAGCGATTACATTCTTGTAGATCTCGTGCAGTGCATCAATAGTGGTCCTGTTGAGACTGAATGACGCTTCCAGGACTTCATATGGCAACTTTGGTCCAAACAATGCAAACGATGGTATCTGGAAAGAAGGATTCTGGCTGTTGAGCACAGCCAAAACAATTGCCTGCTCTCGTCCAACATTCACCACGTAGTGAAGCACGCCTCGCGGGATCACGAACAGATCACTGGCACGCATCTTGTGGGCAAAAAGCTTGTTGTTCGTGTCCACGAAGCCAGCCTCCACAACACCCTTCTCGACGTAAACAAGCTCGCTCGCCCGGGGATGAGTATGAGTCCTGGCAACACCCTTGGGCCCGAGATAGATCCGCGCCATGGACAGTCCCATGGTGTTGAGAGCCGGGAAAGTGGTGACGATGGCTTGCGAGAAGTTGAAGAGAGGGTTGAGGGTGTTTGTAGTATCGGTGTTGGTGCGGAGGAGGCTCGAGTAGAAGTCTTTGGAGGTGACTTGGGAGTATGGCTTGCAGGGAGAGCCTTCGATCAAGGTGTTGCTGGGGATGCAAAAGTCCTGGAGTGGATCGGGGTCGGCAGCTTCCACAAGAGAGAAGATGCGAGCCGAGGAGAGAAATGTGAGAGCTACAAGGAATGTATTCAAAGCCATTGGAGATCTGAAACTCTCGATCACTGTTTTGTGTTATAAGTTATCTGAAAGGTTTGGGTTTTTATGCTTTGCCGTGAGGAGAAATTTCTTCAGTCTCCTGGTTTCTGAAAAAGCGGGACACGTTCTCAGGTGCACATGGATGACTTTGAATGTTTGCTTTAAAATTGTTTATTAGATCATACAATTGGAAATAACGGCGAGGCTAGCATCCGGCAATCTTTCCAAATCTAAAAACTGGAAGATTCATGGCAAGATATGATCACGTTCGATAATGGTTAAACAACCCTAAACGCAGCTGGAATAAACCTCTCTGTTGATTCCAAAGAGGCGATCATTTTTCGCCAACAATCTCTTCAATCGCGGACTACATCGCCCGCGTCGTCGCTACTGTGAGGTCTTCGATCGAATGCCGCAGCGCGACGTCTCTCTTCACTAACTCAGAATCTAAGAACTTCTGTAGCGGTATTTTTCGAAAAAAAAAAATTGGACCTGTTTGGACTCGAGATCATTCTGTCTTGCGTCAAAATGCCAATGCCAAAGCCAGATGTGGCAATCTCGGTTCCAAAAAAATTCAATAAATGAAACGACAAGATTCCTTGGATTCCAATTTTTCCAAAACAGTGACTGGAAGATCCCCAGCGCACTGGCACTAAAAAGGGAACAAAAAAAATAAAAATAAAAAAACGCGACTGTCCAAATATCCCGTTTTTCCTTTTCTTTTTTTTCTTTTTTCCCGTGTGCTGCTGCTGAATGAAAGACTACTGAGTGGTGTTGTTACCGCTACCGCTCAGAGGCGTGTTGGTGTTGTTCCCGGGACCGCCCAGACCGATAGTCTCCTTGGTCTTCTCGTAAGCTTGCTTCGCAGTATCGGTAGCCTGCCAAACAATCCACCAACTTTAGAGATCGAAAATGAGAGACTAGGCGAGAATTGAGAAACCAAACGAGCGAAACTAACAACCCTAGCAAATATCTATTCAAACCAAGCGAACACGACCAAAGAAACGCAACATCTTGGAAGAGGATTTTTTGGCTTACCTTCTGGACGAGTCCGGCAGCTTGATCCTTGGCAGCGTATGCCGCATCCGTAGCCGACTGCATGTATCCCGACGCCGTATCCTGCGTCGTATCCTTGGCCGCGTACGCCTTCTCCGTCACCACGTCCGCGGCCGACTTGGTCTTGTCACCCGCCTGGTTCGCGGTGGCCGCGGTCTGGTCCTTGGCGGCATAGGCCTTGTCCGCCACCGTGTCCTTGGCGGCATATGCCTTGTCCGCCACCGTGTCCTTGGTGGCATATGCCTTGTCCGCGGCGGTATCCTTGGTGGCACGAGCCTTGTCCGCTGCCGTCTGGCCGGTTCCCTTGGATTGATCCATGGCGGCGTGAGTTTTCTCGCTGGCGGCCTGCCCCAAGCCGTGAGTGGTCTCGCTTGCCTTCTGGCCAGCGCCCTGGGAGAGATTCCAAACGAAAAAAATGATAAGATCAATCGAGAGAGCTGTAGAATTTTTCAAAGAACACACAAGACCAAGGTGGCAAAGTGCTGGAGATGGAAAACATGGATCGAACAGGAGAAGAGTAGAACCAAAAGAAAAAAATAGAAACCAAAATTCCAAGAAAAATCAGGGATGGAGAAGAAATATCGCCATGTACATGGATCTACAAGCTGGAGATCTTGCAAAGATGGCAGATTTCTGGGATCCAAGAAAGAAATCCACACAAACCTTGGCGTGCTGAGCGGCCTTATCGGCGCTCTCGTGGCCGGCCTCCTTCACCTTGTTTGCCTGATCCGCCATAGCTATAGCTTTGCTTGCGTGCGCGAGAGAGAAGATTAAACTCCTTTTTCCTTTCCTAGATGAAGAACGCTAGAGAGAATGATAGAACTTTTGGGCAAACGATGTGCTTGCGAAACGTTCGTCGGCCTCTTTTCAAGAACTGCCGCGAGGTGTCACGTGTTGGCAAGGCAGCGACTAGCGCCATGCACGGCTACACGTGTCCATGTAGACGGACGCGTGGAGGCTTGTGGCAGCTGCTACGTGTCGGGATTGCGAGGTTGACACGTGGATTGAACTGGGGGGCGAAAAGGTTTGATTGAAATTGACTTTTGCTGACCAATGGAAAGCAAGAGGAAATTTCTTTTATATTATTGCGCTTGTTTTATACAGTGGAAATTTTTTCATCATCGAAAGGAAGCTTACAAAGAAATTTTTCTAGCGAAAGAAGTTCGATAGAAGGAAAGAATTTAGAATGCGATGATGAGAAGAAACGAACAAGTAAAAGAAGTACTGTAGATCGATCCAGGCTTGACAAAGAAAGAACGAAGAAGATCATCTCGAACTTTGTATAGCGATCGATAAGAAATTCGCGGAGCAAAAGGTTTGCTAGTAGATTTTGCAAAAACCAAAGAAACGAAGAACAGGGAAGAGAAGCAAAAGAATGCGATGATCGATCGACAACGAAGAACAGTAGGACAAAGAGAAGAATGCGATGATCGATAGGCAACGAAGAACAGTAGGACAAAGAAAAGAATACAATGATCGATAGAAAGGAAGAAGAAAGAAGAGATTTTAGTGAGTGGAGCGATCTAGAGTCGTGGAGGAGGAGGATGCTTTACTGCCACAGTCGGGGCTCTCATCAAAATTGGAAGCGGGGTAAGAGGCCGAGAGAATTCCCACCTGGAACACCACCTTCTCGTTCTCCATGTAGATCCCAGTCAGCTCCCACCACACCAAGAACACCTTGACATAAACTCCCGAGAGATCTTTAATCGATCCATAGGACAGCAATCCCTCGATCTTGGCCCTGTACTCCACCGGATACGCGTCCGGGATGGTCACGTCGCATTTGGCGTCGAGCTTGAGCACGAATCGGCCGCTGTTGTCGAGCGTGTAGCCCTCGACGTTGCTGGGCAGCAAGCCCCCTGGAAATCCATTGCGCTCCAGCAGATCCTGCGCAGTCATCGTGTCATTGCCGCCAGTGCCGATCGAGAGATCCATGGCTTGGCCGTGGATTAGGGCGAGCAGCACCAGCGCCAGCGAGAGGAAATCCATCGTCTTCTTCCTCTTTAACGAAGAACCCTAAAATTACTTTTACCCCTAAGCTAGAATTCGACTCCTCGTTGGGATGAATGGATAAATGGCGGGCATTCTCTTGCCTCACTGTGGCGCGCTTCTAGGGCGAAGTATTTCGTGGCGATTGGAGGAAGAGCGACGGCGCCAGAGAGGAGATGGAAGGCGCTGTTGGCGCCGTCGGCGATTTGGATGTTGTTGCGTGTTCCATGTGAGTTCGCTTTGATGGATTGCTGGATCCAATCCGCTCTCTTTCCGTGTCTGATTCCTATTTCATTGCTGCCGTGTGTCGATTCCTGTCTTGAATGCCAGATCGTGTCGTGAGATTTTGTCTGTCTCTGGCATTGTTTTTTATTTCCTTGCGTGAAAAGGGAGAAATAGCCACAAGATCATAGCTCCTTCGTTTTGGAAGATTATGTTTCTTTATTGGACTGGACTGGAAGAATGATTTTTTGTTGTTTGTTCTTTTCTCTCTCTCTCTCTACTTTCGATTAAATCGTTTCTTCTTTCGCAGCTTCCAAGCTTGGCCACCACGCTCAAGGAATCGTTCCAATCGCCAGAATGTCGACGTTTGGTGGGAACTTTTGTGCCAGTCGCGCTTGCCGTCGCAGTCTCGCACAAGCTCGGGATTGGATTCGAGGGCGATATCCTCGTCTCGATTTTCCGGTCGTCGATACAACTTGTGGGACTCGGCTACGCTCTCAAGTTCATCTTCGAGGGCGAGAAGATCTACATGTGCTCGTTCGCCATCCTCTTCATGGTAATTTCCTGTCGTCTCCTTTTTACAAACTTCATGGTTTTCTTGTATCAGATCCTGGTCTCTGGACATACTGCCGGTAAGCGATCCAAGGAGCTTCCCAAGAGCAGAATGGTGGCGACTTTGTCACTGGCAGTCGGCGCCGCCGGGACGCTGGCGCTGATGCTTCTCCTCAGAGTCTACGAATTCAAAGCCCGGTATATCGTCCCGACTGCCGGATATGTGATTGGAAACTCGATGAGCATCGTTGGAACCACACTGGAGAGGCTTCGTCACGACATCTACGTCCACCAGGGACAAGTGAGTGGATGTTTTCCTTACCATCACCTTTGTTTCTTATCTTTGGATTCTTGTTCGTGTGATCGATCAGATAGAACTGGCTCTTGCGCTGGGTGCCACTCCCGCGCAGGCAGTCCACCCCTACATTCGCCGAGCAATCCTCCAAGGAATGGGACCGATCGTGGACTCCCTCAAGACCGTCGGCCTGGTTTCCATGCCTGGCTCCATGACGGGAATGCTCATGGGAGGCTCGTCTCCGCTCGAGGCCGTCCAGATGCAAATCCAGGTCCTGTACATGCTACTCGGCGCCTCAGCTTTGAGCTGCCTGTTCGCGTGCTCTCTAGGATGGCGCGTACTCTTCTCCAAAAACTTCCAGCTCCAGTTTGATGATACTCGCGTTCTCTCTTGAAGTCTAACAACACACCTAAGGCTTCGCTCGCTCGCGCTCGCATCGTTTTCACCACTGATAAAAGCTCTCTTTTGTTGAATCAAGGTGTTAGTACAAATAAAAAGTCGATCAGATTTTGCTTTTTATCTGATGGGGATGAATCGTGTATAGTCGCAGCCACTTTGGCATTTTATCCTACGAGATTGGGACTGAATCGTGAAAACCCTGTGGACGATCCAAGCCAGATAAACAAACGTCTGTTAAACGATCACTTGTGTTCCGTTGAGCTGGTAAAAGATGGCGACGAGTTCCAAGCCTGGTGGAAGCAAGAAAAAGAAAACCAAACGAGTCAAGAGCCTTCCACTGCGAAAAGATGGAACTTACGCGTCAGTCAGTGAGTCGGCTCGCGTTTCTCAGGATGGCCGTGATGAAAGTAAGTGCGTGGGAACATCTGCTGTGATCGGAGTAGCTGCTGGGAGAAGTGCTCATGGTAGTCATCGTCCTCGCGAGGGACTCTTCCCAGTGCCATGCCCAGGATGTCCGTGCTTTGTCTCGGGCTTCCCTGCCTCGGACTTCCCTGTCTCGGGCTCCCTTCAAACGGAGGCGACGGAGGAATGCTCCACATCCCGTTCTTTCGAACCGGGCTTCCACCTGTGAGGCCTAGCTTCTGGAAGTTGTGGTGCTCGTTGTGTAGCGTGGGGACCCCAAAGCTGCCGTTTGCTGAGCGTGGTACGTTGCCATAGCCTCCAGTGATAGGCGTGGAAGAGCCCGAGCTGATAACCGGTGACGACGACTGTGACGATGATATTCCGAGGTGGAGGTGGTGAGGTGACAGGGCTCTGATTTTCGGGCTGGCGCAAGGAGACACTGACGACGATGCAAATCCTTGAGCACGGGGAGAGAGTTGCTCGCTACAAAGGAAAAGATCGCATCAAAGAAACAAAGAAAAACATTTCTAGGCCTGCGGCACCAACCTGGTTGGTGAGTGTAGGATTGTTTTCGGATGCAGCACTGAATCGTATTCGTGGATGCGACTCCCGATGGCCTTTGGCAGAGTTAGAAGAGAGATATAAAATAGAACTTTCAGAAAGAAAAATGTGCTTGAAAACGTACCAGAGAGCCGACAAATGTGCTCGCCTTTGCAGCTATATCGCATCGATCGTCTGGAGTACATACTGGAGGCGCATTGCACACGAAAGGATGTCCCAACAGAAATGTAGCGGTGGGCCTCTCTGCCGGATTCCTCTGCAAGCAGAGCCGCAAAAAGTTTTTACATTCTCTAGTCAGGTACTCCGGTATGGATGGGATTTCTTTGCTGTTCCCGATTTTAAACATGGCTGCTATCTGAGAGAGAAGTAACTATTAGCAGAAGAAATGGAAAAGCGAAGGACAAAGGTAACTGACCCCTTCATATTGGCTCCATGGAGGCTTTGCTGTCGCCATCTCCAGAACCGTGCAGCCAAGGCTCCAAACGTCCACAGAGAGATCGTATCCATGTGTTTGTTTGATCACCTGGAAAGTAATCCAGTAAGAAGAGCCGACTCGTGCTTGAAAAAGAAACACGAACCTCAGGCGCCATCCAATACGGACTTCCCTTAAAAGAAAGTGGGAAAGACTCGACGCTCAGCTGAAACACAGAGACACTCGTCAACAATAACGACAAAAACAAGGAGAAAACATTTAGTACGTGTTTCGCCATGCCAAAATCAGCAAGTTTCACAATTCCATTAGTGTCGACTAGAATGTTGGCTCCTTTGATGTCCCTGGCATTCAAAAGATTAATATGCCTATAAATACGTGATGGTGGTGAGTTGAAGGGGCATACCTGTGTACTGTGCTTGTGCTATGAAGGTAAGCCAGCCCCGAGAGAATTTGACGCGTGTAGCTGCGAATCACAGGCTCCTTGAATGCACCATACTCCTGAAGAAGCTTGTGAATCGATCCCCCGGACACATACTCGAGGTAAATATATAAGCCATCCTCCATCTGAAAATCGAACGTTCATGCTTGAATGCAAAGTGGAGCTTGACTACCGTTTCCGATCCGTAATACTGTACAATGTTGGTATGTCGCAACCGGCTAAGAGTTGCTATTTCCTGAAGGTTTAGAAATGATCGCCTTGTAAGCTTGAAGCATTCAAAGTTCTTCGTACCTGACTTAGCTGCTTTACACTTTCTTTTGACTTGGAATCGTCTGATAAAAGCGGAACTTCCTTCATGGCACACATGCGGCCGACATTCTCACTGAAACAAAAATGTTAGAAGAGGCAGGAATTTAAGATCTCACAGTGACCGCACCTGTCAAAGCCAACGTAAACATTTCCAAAGCTTCCCCTGCCGATGAGCTTCCCTTTTTGCCACTTCGTCGTCGAGGTAGTAGGAGAATCTGATCTGTTTGGACTGCGAGGAGGAACTGCGGACGCATTTGGCGACGGTGGGAAATTCGAAGCCACCAGCGGAGAAGGAACAGCAGGAGGCAGCGGTAGACGGTGCGCAGAAACCTCGAGATGATATCTTTCCTGATCGGACCCGCCAGCTCTCTTATGTAGAGGAGACACTGCTTGGCTCTGAACTCTCGAACTTGGGCCTGGACTCCTCCTCGGGCTCGGGTTTGGAGACAACTCCGGACTAGCACGGCTTTGGCACCACGATGTCTGTCCAGTATCAACAGTTGAGTTGTGCCCCGACCCCGGACTGGAACCATGACCAGAGGCAGGATCAGGAGTTGACTGCAGCGATCTCGGCGTCGCGGAGAGCATCTCCGCAGTTGTAAGTATCGTGCTTCTCACGGGGCTCACCATGTAGCTGTCTCGTGTCGCATTCAAGATACCATGGTTCCTTCCATACGTCAAGGCCTCGCCAGGAACATTCACGAGGAAATTATTCCGTAAGTGCGGACTGGTGGGACAGGAAACCCCGTGTCTGGTTTGTGCTTGGGAGCTGCAACAGGTTCCACCAAGGAAAACATCAGAACAGAGACAACAGAGAAAGACAAACACGAGAACTTACAAAGTCAACGACTGATCCGGTTTTGTGAGCACTCTGAGATTCCCCACGCGAGCAGCCACGGTTCCATGCGCCGTGTCGACCACGTCCGAGCTTCCCAAAGAGCTCGTGCTCGAGGCAGATCCAGACTCGGTGTAGCCAACCTCCATATCAATACCATCCTTGCGAGGCGGCAGAGGAAACGAAGGATACCGCTGCATTACCGCATTGCCCGACTTTCGCGAGTGCTTTTCCCCGGGAGGCAATGGAAGAGGCTGCGCTTGAGACGGCAGACCGCCGAAACTCGCCGAGCGGCCAACCGCAGCCGAGGGAGAGGTCCGAGCTAATGGCGCAGCCTCGGCTGCCCCGACAGACTTGACGCATATCTCTTCTTCCTTGGCTTGCTGCTGCTTGTTCTTCCTCCTCTTTGGAGGATATAACAACGAGCTGAGGATGTTCTCCTTTTTCCCTCCTCCATCCTTGGAGGACGACTTTCCCCACCAAGATGGCATCTTCTCCAATGCCCAGCGAGAAACTCCAGGTCATGGAAGCGTCTTCAAACTCGTGGACCTCGTCCAGTCTAAACGCGCGAGCTTCTCCCAAGCTCGTGGGAATTCCCTGTTCTTAAGTAGTCCTCTCCCAATTTTTCGCTGGAAGAAATCCCCGCCCCGATGGAAAGAGAGAGTGTGAGAGAGCCAAAAACCTCGAAAATCTGTCCCTGTGAGTGTCCCAGGATCATCCTCTTGATGATTTAGCATTGCCTAGTGCCGATGACGAGCAGCCCGGGCCAGCGTGAGGATCATTGGCACTAGATTCTACTCCCATCCTCCTCCTCCCTAATCCCAGAATCTCACAGAGCTCCAAAACCCCAGCCATTGGCCTCTGGAACTTACCGCGCGCGCTCTCCCAATCCAAGAACAATGCCAGCATTCGTGCTCCATAGCTGCATTTCAGCTCCACGGCCGCATTTCAGCTCCGGCGTCGAGATTCAGACCCTAGAGACGAGAAGAAGGCCTCTCCTCGCCTCCGCCCGACGAAGAACCCTAAGATTGCCCACACTGCCAGCGACGATTACCGAGCGCAGCGCCTCGTCTACGCCGATTCCCCGCCTTGGATCTTCCTCATCGCCATCGCGCGGCGCTCTCTCCTTCAGCTCTCTCTACGTCGCGTAGCTCTAGCCCTCACAGAAAAAAAAAAATGGACGATATTCTCTTCTTCCTCCTCGAGAAAGGGCGAGAGTGACGGCATCTATAGGCTCGTTTTTTAGGGTTCTAGGAGATAACTCTTGAAAAAAGAAAAAATATTTCTAGGGTTCTTGAGAGGGCAAGATCGAATCGATCGATTCGATCGATCCATCCTATCCAATGACGAGGTATCTCAGTATGCGCGGCTACGACCGGCTCATGAGTTTCAAGAGCCTCGTCCAAAGCGGCAGTTCCAAGGATCTCCCGGAGGCGCAAGAGCGCGTGCTGGAGCTCTATCGCCGATCGGTTCGATCGGTGCCCTTCATCATGGAGTGCTTCAACATGGAGGGCGTGGCGACGCCCGCGCAGCTGCGCTCCAGGATCATGAAGGAATTCCGGAAGAAGACGGATATTACCAATCCCAGGGTAAGATTTCTCGTTAGATTGGGGCTGGATTTTGATCCTGGCTTGGAATGCAGGCTCTAGATCTTCTCGTTGTCAAGGGGCTGGAGGAATTGATGATGTTTCTCACGCAAACCAAGCAGCGGCATCATCTCATCGCGCAGTATGTCCAGGAGGAATCCTTCGATCCGCGAAAGCTGGGAATCATCGACCGGGGTGAGTCGGAGTTCTTGAAGAAGTTCTTAGAAGGCAACGCTTGAGAGGGAGCAAAGCTCTACCGCCAAGAACACAAAAGTGCCAGGAAATAAGTTTTTCCTCACCATCTTCTTGTTGTCTGTCTGTAATCTTCTCTTCTCTTCTTTTCTTCGCGCTGTTCCAGAGAATCAAAGCTCTTGTAAACGTTTTGCGGGCTTCTTCGATTTGGAAGGTTGGTTTCTACGTTTGCGCACTAACATCGAGAGGATTTTCTCAGAGATTTGCTCCCAGTTCTTCGCCCACTTGGTTTGATCCTTTGTTCCCTCGCAAGAGCACCACGTCCGGCTGGATTCCAGCGTCACGACTTCCAAAGCTCTATCCCTTTTTGAAAGCGATGCGATCACGATCAGGCGAAAGTTCTCTCCGAATCTTTGGATTTGACAAAAGATTATCGGGCCTCCTTGACCAAGCGCTATCCGGTAGATCACGGTGGGGTTGGCCATACCGACTTAGAACTACTGGATCGAGGGCGGTCAAGTGGTCAAGGGTCAGCGACCCCATTTACTAGTCAATCCGAGGGATACAAGCGCCATTCTTTCTTTCGTTCGGGATAGGGCTTCCAGCTTACTTGGCACAACCTCCGCAACTCACGGGATGACAATTTAGAATTTCTTTTTCCTACAAAAATGTTTACATGAGGTTTTTTTTTTTTTTTTTTTGTTTCAGGGGACTGGCTCTTCTTGCATAGCTCCATCTTTGATTGATCCAAGCTCTTCTCTTTGGCTATCTTCATCTTGCGCAGCTCCATCTTCATCGTCCCAAGGCAGCGAGAACGAAGCAGTGTCATCCACCGCCATCGCCATCTCTATCAACTTGGCGGCCAAATCTCCCCTGCGCGACCAGCACAGCCTCGCCACCACTCTCCCGAGAACTCCCGACGGCGGGCTCAATCCACTCGCCAGCATCTCCTCGCACAGATCAAACGCCCTGCGGATCTCTCCACTGCCGAGCAGCCGATCGATGAGAGCGCTGTAGGTGGCGAAGTCTGGCGCGATCCCGCGCTGCCGCATCTCGTAGAACAGCACCATCCCGGACTCGAGGCAGCAGCCAGCGATCACCGTGTTGTAAGTCAGCAAGTTGGCGACGCAGCCAGGATCATCGCCCAGTTCCTCCAAGATCCGGAAAGCCTCCTCGGACCTCCCGGATCGAAACGCGCCGTGGAGCAGCACATTGTAGGCGTGAGTGTCGGCTGAAACTCCCGCGAGACGCATCTCCCGGAAGAGCGCGCGAGCGTCGTCCAGCCTTCGCTCGCGGCACAGGCCGCTCACCACCGCGGTGTACATGGCAACGTCGAGCGGGCAGTAGTCGCGGATGTGATCGAACAGCCCCAGCGCCGTCTCGGTTCGATCGTTCCGGCAGAAGGTGTCGATCAGGGTGGCGTAAGTTCGCTGGTTTGGAAACGCGCCGGATCGCTTCATGATCCGGTAGAGCGCGTAGGCGTCGTCCAGGAAGCCGGATTTGCAGAGGCCATCGATGAGAGTGGTGTAGATCACGACGTTGAGCTCGCAGCCGAGCGTTTCCATCTCGCGGACCACCCGGTACGCGTCGTAAACTCTCCCGGCCTTGGAGAGTCCATCGATGATCACACTGTAGGAGACGATGGTGGGCTGGATCTTTCGTTCGAGCATGGCGTTCCAGATTGTCATCGCGAGCTTCATCTTCTTGGCCTTGCAAGCACCCCGGATCAAGCTCGTGTACGTGACGACCGTCGGCGAGCATCCCTGGCGAACCATCGTCTCGTCCAGGAACTTCCACGCTTCCAGGAACCGGTTTGATCGGCAGAGGCCGTCGACGATCGAGTTGTAGATCACCACGTCGGGTTGGATCCTCCGCTCCACTCTCATCTCGCGGAGAAGCTCCAGAGCTCGATCCATCCTGAGCTCCTTGCAGTAGCCATCGATGAGAACACCGTAGAGGAAGCAATCCGGTTGGCAACGATTGCTTTTGATCATCTCTTGGAAGATCTCCCAGGCGCGCTCCACCATCCTGTTCTTGCAGAACCCCCGGATCAATGCCGTGAAGGTGACCACGTCGGGGTGGATTCCAGCGTCACACATGAGCTCCAGAGCTCTGGCGGCGTCGCCGAGTCTATTGGATTTGGACAAGGCGTCGATGAGCGATGCAAATGCGTGCTGGTTTGGAGGTGGAGTACCTGAGTGGAGCATAGCGGCCAGGATGAGCAGAGCGCCGCGCAGATCCCCGGACTTGCAAGCTCGATCGATGACGACGCTGGAGAGGAAGCCCGGGAAGATCGATCCGGCGGCGGTCTTCTCACGGAGGAAGCGCGCGGCCGCATTGGCATCGCCGGATTCGTGGAGCGCGAGGAGCTGCGCGTGTGCGGCGTCGGGCGATGGCGGGAGATGGAGCGATCGATGGTAGAGCGAGCGACGATGGAGGCCGCGACGAAAACCTCGCATTTACCATCGTTCCTAGGGTTTTGGGTTTAGGGTTCTTGAGCTCCTTTATTTTAAGAGAAATTTAACTGTTGTGAAATAAGTATCTTGCTCTTTCCCAAGAACCCTAATTCAGGGTTTTGGGGCGATGGAGGCTTTGTTTCGGGAGGCGCTGCTGGCGCTCCCTCCAGCGCCACTGCGGGATCTCTTGCGCGCTGGGGTAAAGCGATTTCTTTCTCTTGCGGCCAGATCGATCGAAATACTTGTCTCGTAGGCGTGCTCCTTGTGCGCGATGAGGTTCCTGAGCGTGCGCGGCCGTGTGTATTCGCAATCGGTGCCCGCTCCCCCCACTATTCTCGCAGAGATTGGAAATGGCGATGGATTGGAGAGCGATCGATCGAGTGCTTCGTGTTGTACTGTTTGCCAGGGGATCTTGCAAAGCGCTGGCGTTGGATTGGCTGTTCTTGAGGCGATCCAAAAGGAAGGGCACGAGTTTTGCGATTTTTCTTTGGAGGTCACTGTGCCTTCAGCAACTTTAGTACGTGAGCGTTCTCTTTGGTACGCTACTCCTTATTTCTTCGGATCGGGGCATTTGTGAATTTGTGACTTTTCTTTTCTCAGGTGCTACTTGAGAAAAGAACATCCAGAAGACTTCAAGGCTGAAGATCCAAACGAATGTATAGTTTCACTCAAGGAAGCTGTCAAGTGGACTTTTGGCCCACAAATCGAAGCTGCATTGGTAAAGAACTCTTTCCTTGGCATGGTATGTTTTCATGGTGAATTCAGGGAAAGGTCATGGATAAAAACTCGAACTTCCACATCTCTCTAGTGTTTAAGCATGCGAACTCAAGCTCGGAGATTCAGTTTCTTTCTGATCTGTCCGGTGGCGATTCTAAACGAAAGCGGGGTAACGTTACTCTTTCTGTGGCTACTGGTATCTGATGGATGTGTCTTCTCGCAAGGTCCTGTAGAAGCCGGGGAGTCTATTGCAGCCGTCCAGCGCTCGCTAGCGTCTATATCATCCGACGCTTTTGCTCGGCATTATCCCTGCCCTCCTCCACAAGTAAGTTTCTTACATTGTACAAAAACTTACCGGTGGAATCGCAGTCAGATACGCCATGCGAGCTGGTTTCGAGCTGCCGGAAGGACGCTATTTTTGTTGTTGGGAGATATCTAAAGGTTTTTGATTGTTGGTTGAATAAAACTAAGCTGCATTTTAATATCTTGGTTGAACAGTATTCGCGGAGCATCAGCCAGAGCCCTTGGACAATTCAGGAAGACAGGATAGGGGACGGTTCTGTACAGGCAAGTGCATGCATATGTTAAGAAGCGTTTTGATCCTCGACTTGGTGCAGGAGATTATAGGCGATGTGATCTTCCCTCACTTTAAGGCCGATAGCTACAAATTCCATGCGGCCGGAAGGGAGGACATCGACGTAAAGAAACCTGTTTCATGCTTTTGGTTTGCTCATTCTGCTCTGTGTCAGGTCCGAATGCTCGGCAGTGGGCGACCATTTCTTTTGGAAATTCTGAATGCACGCACATGTTCAAAGCAGGAGGAACTTCTCAAGCTTGAGCATGCCATAAATTCCAACAAAGATGGATGGGTATAGCTTTTGTTGTCAACTTGCCTCTCGTCTAACCAGTGTTGGCTGCGCAGAACAGGTGAAAGTAAAAGGTCTTAAAGAAGCTGGCAATGAAGTTTGGACGGTCATGCGACAAGGTGAGGCGGACAAGCAGGTTGGCTTTCTTTTTTATTCTTGCCAGACAATAGTGCTGAATGAACATGTTTTACAGAAAGAATACACGGCAGTGGTGTGGTTGTCTCGGCCTGTCACAGAGGCTGACTTTACAACCCTTTCCAACTCGAAAGAGCTGGTTTGTGATGTTCTCAAGTTGTTTGGTGTGCATCTAATGTTTTTAAAATACAGGAGATTCAGCAAAAAACACCGGTACGAGTTCTGCACAGACGCAGCCCGCTTGTTCGTCCGCGAATCATTCACTGGTGAGTACTTTCCTTACTTTTCATTGCTAGATAACAAGAGAATTTCTGGTGTATTAGGATGCGGTGTGAAGCACTACACGATAGCTCATGCTATTTCCTTCTACATCTTTGTACTCAGGTGCAGACTCAAAGTTGGTTCTTTGCGTTTACAACGCTAACTATCTCAGCTTTCTAGGCTGGAACATACGTTAAGGAGTTTGTTCACGGAGATCTAGGACGAACGTATCCGAAGTAAGAAGAACAAAAAAAACAGAAAAACTTTTGTTGGTGAAACTAACCACAAACTTTCTTCAGTGTTGGATCGCTTCTAGATTGCGATGCCGAAATTCTGTGCTTGGACGTGACAAATGTGAAAATGGATTTCTTGTGATGAACAACGGTAGGACGGCATCCAAATCTGTGAAGAACATATTCACCCCTTTTGGAAGCTTTTCTTTGCAGGCATTCCTGGAAATCCTGTAAGCTAGCACATGAACTCAAAAGGAACACCATAAATTCTAGGGGGCTGGCCTCCAAGTTGCTCTGGTTCATTCTCCTTCCAAGTTGCAAAAGCACTAAAAGTTATGACGATATGTAACGATTCTAAGGAAGTGATAGCGAGCGTTTGTTAGAAAATATCAACATGCCACATAAGCTTCTAGAGAGAGAGAGAGAGAGAGAGAGAGATTAAAATCATACTATGTTAACTTGCAGAGAGATTTAAATTATACTATGCTAATTTGCAACCAAGCAATGCCTCGGTTAAAAAAATTATACTGTGCTAACTTGCAGCCAAAGTAAGAAATCAATGCCTCGTTGAAAATTACCGTTAACGAATAGATGTTTTCTTTTACATCAATCTTGGTCCATTCGCCAGGGAATCTATACCGTCAAGTATAAAGATCTGAGATCCAGCGGAGCAAGACTAGACACGTGGTTCCATCCCAGATGGGCACGCTTGCCATATGCATCGCGTCCTTCGGTCCACGGGCATCGCCGGACGTGCACCACTCGCGCTCCGCCACGTGTTGATTATTTGGGATTACTGGTTAATGCCTTGTTTGCCCTTTGGCTCTTAGTTCTACCGTCTCGAGCAATGCGCATGGATTCCAGAGCGAAAAGCGGAGGATCGATCGCTTAGGGCGAGGCGCTGCCACTGCTAGGTAAGAATTTCCGCGTTCTTTTTCCAGGCGCAGCGCGAGAAATCGGTGAAAACTTCGCTCTTCTCTGGCTCGCGAAATCCAGGGTTTCTTGGAATTCGAAGGAGCCGGCTATGGATCCCGGCCGTAACAGCGACAGCGAGGAGGAGGAGAGCGTGTGTGGCAGCCGAAGCTGGGAGGTCGTGGCATCGGATCCCGACTCCGGATTATCCGACTCGAATTGCGACGTCCAGATGCATGAGGCCGGCATCACTGTTCTTCCCCAGCACTTCCTTCTCCCGCCGGCGGCGCAAGCATGCGCGCAAGAATCCAAGGCAGTGGAGGAGGAAGAATCTTCACGAGGTAGGGAACCGCCGTCCTCCTCGGTGAAGGATTGGATTGAGCCGTCACGGGTGATTGATGAACGGCAGGGATCCGGGCAGCAGGAGCAGCATCACAGGCAGCAGCAGCAGCAGCACGATTTGGATTTGCTATCGACGCTCATCTCTTCCGTCCTGGAATCCGAGAAGAGGGAGGGTGGGATTGCCGAGGGAGGAGACCTCCAGATAGGGACAGGAGAGGAGGCATCATCACTGGCGAGTTTGCATCGCGAGATTGTGTCGGAGTCGGGATTTAGCGCTTTGGTTCCATCGGATCTTCACGGGAATGTGTTGAGACCGGAAGAACAGGAGGAGGGCGAGGCGATTGGCGAGGAGGAGGGTGGTGGTTTTGGAATTGGAGAAGAAGAGGATGGGAGGATAGGAGGAAGCTGGAAGAAGACGATTGCGAGTTATATCCGGAGGGCGAGTACGCTGTGGTCTCTCACGATTGCTGCGGCGCTGGTGGGACTCGTGATCATTGGGCAACGATGGCAGCACGAGCGCTGGCAAAACCACCAGATGCGCTTGCAGCTTTGCTACAAGGACGAGGTACTTCCACTCAAAACTTTGGATCTTTTGTGTTTCTAGAAGCTCCTTTCCTTGATTCCTGGGTTTGCTTTGCATAGTTCTTGGTCTTGGGCTGGTATCATTGGTTTCGTTTTTCGCATGAGCACCGAGAATCGAGCATGCGCTTTGCTTTTCCGATTCAATGATCGTTTGGGATCTTACGGGAGCACTTTGCTTTTCCTTTTCTTAGCAACGAGCATCGCATTTTCTCTTTTTGCGCTGGAAGCTTCAGTGTTTTCACTTTCTTTGTTAGCTTGCTGATTCCTTGCCTGTGATGGATCACTTTTGCCCGAGAAGATCCAATGTTAACACACGCACTTTTTGGCTTCCAGAAAATCAGCCAGCTTCTCTTCCAGATTGCTCGATTGAAGGAGACGGTCTCGGGTCGGAGGAGAGTGCCAGTGATCAAAGCGAGCGCGGTTTGAACTTGAGTCGACCGAGGCGATCAAAAAAGACTTTAAAGAGAAACAAAGAAGAGAGAAGAGATTTCTTCTTCCTCCGCGCATCGCATTGTTGGCTTCGTTCGTTCGTATTACATATAAATGGAGAATTAAGAAAGAGACATAGAACGAGCGGGCTACGTGGCACGATTTCGTGCAAAGAATCCAGCCATCCAGGTGTGACCAACGCGACGCCATGATCTAGCCGTACCGGCGTTGAGTTAAATCGTCCGTACGTTTTAGGGCGAGCAGGAGAGAGAGGGCTGGGAAAAGATCTCCCTTCGCACCGTCACGAAAGCCGCAATTAGCACGGGGCGGACGAAGCGCGCGCGACGAAAAGGCAAGGTTGGAAAGAGCGTAGCGCAGCCAGGGCATTCCTCCGCTGCGATTTGGGCGTTTTAGGGTTTGTCAATCCGTGGCCTGTGTGTTCCACGCTTTTCATTCGAGTGCCACTTTCCCCAGCTCGCGTTCTTCTTTTTTTTTTCTCCTCTTTTTTTCCCACCGTTTTGTGTTCCTTTATCCTACATTGCCCCGTTTTTTTTTTTCGGTTGAGTGAAGAAAAAAAGTTACAGCGGCTACGATTCTTTTGATTCTTTTTCCGCATTTTGGCATTCGTTTTTCTTTGTTTTTTCGTCCTTTCTTTTTTTTTTTTTCCGTAAGTCTCCCGCCTTTTAGATATGGATCGCTACCAGCGAGTGGAAAAACCTCGTCCCGAGACTCCAATTAGCGAGAATGAGATTCGCATTACCACCCAGGGAAAGATGAGGAACTACATCACTTACGCGACCAACCTTCTCCAGGTATAGATCTCTCTTTTTATTCTTTATATTCCTTTTCATGGTTGTGCTCCATTCTTTACAGGACAAGGGAGCCTCTGAAATCGTCTTGAAGGCCATGGGTCGTGCTATCAACAAGACCGTTAACATCGCCGAGATCATCAAGGTTTGTAGTATTATCCTGTGTTCTTTTTGTAATATATATTCCATTTCCAGCGAAGGATTGCCGGTCTGCATCAGATCACTTTCGTCGGCTCCACTGATATCACGGATGTTTGGGAGCCACTTGAAGAGGGCCTGACAACGTAAGTGTAGCGCAGCTTTTCCATGCTACTTTTTTTTGCGAAGTCTGAAAAGTTCTTATTCTCTCTTTTGCAGGCTAGAAACCACTCGGCACGTTTCAATGATCACCATCACGCTTTCTACGAAGGAGCTGGATACTGCCAACATCGGGTATGAGAACCACCTTATCCCTGTAACATTGGCTGTAAGCATTACAATTTTTTAAATCGCAGGTATCAGCCTCCACTCTCCCCGGATCAAGTGAAACCAAACATAGATTTCGACTATGTTGAGGCCGCAGGTATGATGCTGGACTTTTCTTGCTGTCTATATATTGATCTTTCTCCTGCATTGTATAGACGCACCACCGCGTGGAAGGGGCCGTGGCCGTGGTCGTGGACGGGGAGGCCGAGGAAGAGGTATGAATGAGATTAGTCACGATTATGAGATCAAAGTTCTTTTCTTTTTTTTTGCTTAGAATCTGGGAATGGTGTAGCACCAGCTGCTGAGTATCCCGCCGGTGAAGCTCGAGGACGCGGCCGTGGAAGAGGTTGGGGCCGAGGACGTGGCCGGGGCCGTGGCCGCGGGACCGACTACGTCTCAGACGGTGCTGCTGGCTACGAAGAAAACTCTGAAGCTCCCCGTGGAAGAGGTAGAAGAGTGTTTCGAAGCTAAGGAAAGTCATCACTCTTTTCTTCTTTGGCAGGCCGTGGTCAGATGAAAGTGAGGGGTCGGGGAAGAGGTGGCGGCCGCGGTGATGCTCAAGCTGGAGAGGAAGCCCCGGTGGAATAGCTGGTATGTCCATAGCTGTGGTTGACCGAGGGGAGAGCGAGAGAAGTGAAAAAGAAAAGGGAGAGAGTTGGATTTTCGTGAGAGTTTTTGGCGATTCGATCGTCGCAACTCTCTTGGGAGAATGCTCGTGTTTTCGTTCGTCTTGGTTTTGTTTTTGGCTGCTCATGAGAGAGAGAGAGTGGGAGAGAATCTACTGTTCCTTATATGCGTGTGTGCTTTTGTCTGGAACCACAAACAAAGGTATATTTTATACTCGAATATTCGCCACAACATAGAAACCATCGAATCTTCTCCCCAACATTGAAAAAGAACTTAGAAGCATCAAGAAGGCGGGGTTGACTACTTCATGGATCACCGCATTTGTCAAAGGAATAGAAAAAAAACGCCAAAAGATGACTACTACTGATGGGTGATGGATCAACGCTTCCATTTGTCAAAGCAACAGAAGAAAGGAAACAAGAAAACTATTGGGTCTCTTTGCAGGCCAGCTCCTCCCAACTCAAAAGGGCATCTTTTCTCCTCTCCCATGGCCTGCCTTTGTTTTGTCGCAACTAACTTGCGGCATCTAAAATGTCACTTTCAAAGAGGCTCTGTGCCAAAAAAAGGGATCTTTGAACCATGTTCACGCTTCTCAGACTCAAGTTTTCTCTGACACTGACGACTCATGTGATCGAGTTTCAATGGTGCTTGTCTCCAACAGCAAGAAAAGTGGAATTTCCTAATATATTCTTCTCTCCACGACACACATCACAGTTTCCTAAGCAGGCCAGAGTCCGTGATCCGGTCGGTATTATAGTTTTGCTGGTTGGATTGGATCCACAAGAGGGAAAAGACAGAAAGAAATCCCACTGCTTTTGCGCCTATAACTTGAATCGTTCCAAAAGAGCTCTGCAATGTAACCCTCGCATTCATCCATTTCATTCCCATGTTAGATGCGTGAAGTTAACGCCACATGAGATGGAAACATGGGTGGTGGAATGAACCAAACCTCAAACATGCCAAGACCGAGGTCAACCAACTATAGGTACGTAAAAATCTCAGGTATTTTAGTATTACTTGCTGAAAGATCTAGAACACTGTAGATGCAAATATAAATTAATCTAATCAAGTACAGATTTTGTACATGTATAAAATCTTTGTGCAATTTTTTGGGTGGATATTTGTAAGAAACGGCACACATGGTGTGTCACATGTATAGTTGCCATGTTAGTGGTTTGATGGTGTGAAATTGGGATAAAGCTTGCACAGAGAGGACCAAATGTTGGCTTTCTCAACCGGGCCTGCCACAAGTTTTGATGCACTCCACAACGCATTCTGTCTTCGATCGTGGGCAGTGTGGCCGACAGAGAAATCCCAATCTTCTTCCGACGTGGATTAGGGCGGTGCCACTGGAAAAGCTGGCGGAGGCGGGGAACAGTTCTTGAGAGCCACTAGCCAGGCCTCCTTTGTTGTTGGGGGGGCCCCGGGGCATGGGGGCATCTTTGCAAAGTAAAGCATCTTCTTTGCAAGACAAATCAATTATTATAATAATTATAATAATAGTTGAACAATAATAATAATAGGAACAATGATGATGATGATGCTACAGCACAGTCGGGGAAGACAATTGGCTCTTTACAAGCCCACTTTGAAGCATGAAGCAGCATCCAGTTGTTCTGAATATGCTAAAGCTCCGCCCCAAAAACATTTGCACAGGAATTGGGAACACCCAGATGGATGCAGTTCTAGTTGCTGGAAAAGAATACAATATAAATGTTGATATAATAATAGATACAAATATGATATGCAGGAAAAAAAAAGAATGCAGGTCTCACATCAGACAATACTGCACTGGAAAGGGAGAAAAAGCACCAAAGGTATCGCCCCGCCCCGGGGCAAAACTATAGGTATGTTTGCAGAACACACACCTTTGGTAGTGGGGGAGGGCCTTACAATTGGAACTTTAGCATCGTATAAACTGTAGAGAAGCTCCAAATCTGGAATCTGCCGCTGCACTCTTGAGTGGAGGGTCGGATCTTGAGATTTTTATGCGAGTCAAATTCCGGCGAGTGCGCAAAAACCTGATGAATGCGACGATCCGATTTCCCGGGGACAAAACAGCGACACGTCGAGAGGACATGTTTTCTCAAAAAACCCCAATTTAAATATTTGAATTAAATACAGAAAAGAAAGGGCTCAAAGATCCTGTTTGCCTTTAAGAAAATGGGGAGCACAACTTTGGGTTTCGAGGTTTTTTTGAATCCAAGGCATGGATTCTACAACATGTCCCGTTCATGTAGTGGATATTCCGCGGCATCCATCACTGTGTCGTGACATCCGGTACCCTCGTTTAAGAATGTTTAATTCATGTAAATTCCACAAAATTCTGCGGTTAAATCCCATATTTTTCACTTCGCGGGTGAAAATTCTAACCACGAAACCGTTGTGGATAAGATGGGGCGTTAGAGATATGACTTCACGTCGCACAGCCTCAACGCGAAATGCACAAATTTTTTTAAAATAACTTGGCGGGCGTTCGTTACTTTAGCTTAGCTTAACCTAACCCCAGATGGGCTTAGATTAACGGCAGAGAAACCTGTATATAAAGAAACCCCCCCTCCCCTTTTCATCCACAGCATCACCATATTTTTTTCCTCCTCCCATTCCAGTAGAAGCGCGCTTCTCTGTTCCTTCACACGCTTTGCGGTCGATCGATCGACCTCTCTACTCTCTTATCTCATCCTCCAGCGATGGAATTGATTCGCTCGCTCGACTCCTGCGTCGATTCCTCCCGGCGCGTGCCGATCAGCAGCCCGCGGGACAGGAAATTCCCCCCGCCGATGCCGATGGCTGTCCAGTTCGTCAACACGAAGAACGATTGCTGCCCGGATGAGATGGTGCGGGGCGTCCGGCTCCAGGCGGTGCGCAGCAATGGGAGGTTCGTCCTCCAGGAGGTGAAAATTCCCAGCGATCAGATCGTCTTCGTTCACAAAATCCGGGAGCAGGGGCGTCTCGTGCTCCAGATCGTCCGCCCCAAATCCGAGGAGAAAATCGCGAAAACCGCCGAGCGCAAGGAGGAAATCAGTGTGGTTGCACCGGCGATTTCATGCGCGGCCTTGCCACCGGCACCAATCGTCGAGAAATCTCCTCTTGCTATCGCCCCCGCGGCTCCTCCCGCCATCAAACCAATCGCCCCTCTTTCTCCTCTGGCACCCAAATCGATCGCTCCCGCCGCGATTTCTCCAGCGATTCCCAGAGCCATTGTCGATCCAGAGCCAGCGCCAGCACCTCCACTGGTGGCAGCGCACCAGCCACATTCCAATTCCTCTCTGGAATCGTGTGGAGAGGAGGCGAAGAAGAAGAAATTGCCACAGCAAGACGCCCATCTCTTGCAAGAACTGATTGGAGCGTGCGCAAATCGGATGGCCAGGATTCACGTTCCGTACGGGATAGCCGTACGATAGAGCTCCTAGTAACTAAGTTTTTGTTCTTAGGCAATCTTGACCCTAGATTTTAATCAATCCAACGGCTTTTCTTGGCAGTACTTATCCACCGTAGATCTCGGCAAATCCGACGGCTCTGGTTGAGTTCTTGTTCTTGTGGAAGGGAATGCCCGGCAGCGCAGCCCCACTCATCCAATCGTGTATCGATCGCGGGGAGCTGGATCGCGCCGCAAGGATCTATTGCGAGGCGTCGCGATCGCCGGCGGAGCGCGAGCCGTACTGCGGGAACTTGATTCTCGCGGCATTCGCCCGGCTAGGGCATTCGCGCGACGCCAAGGCACTGTTTGATCGCATGGGCGACAGGGACATTGTGTCCTGGACCACAATGTTGCGCGCCTACGCCACCGCCGGCGATCTAGAGGAATCGCGAGCCATCTTCGCCGCGATGCCGTGCTGGGACGTGATCGCCATGAATTCGCTGCTGGATGCGTATGCCCGGGTGGGGCACCTCGATTTTCTGCTGGAGCTCTTCCATTCCATGCCGGAGTGGAGCCGATCGTCGCTGACGAGCGCCATCGCCGCCCACGGCCGGCGCGGGAATGTGAAAGAGTGCCTTAGCCTTTTCCGCGACATGGATGAGCACGACCTCGTCGCCGCCAACGCCGTCTTGACGGCCTTCTCGCGTAACGGCGATTTTGATTCCGCCAAGGCACTGTTTGATTCCCTGCCGTGCGCGAGCATCGTGACATGGAACGCCATGCTGTGTGCCCACGTCACTGCCGGCCACTTGGAGGCAGCCACGTGTATGTTCGAGTCCATGCCGGCCAGGGACCCCGTGACGTGGACAGCCCTAATCTCGGCATTTGCCGCGGCCGGGGATTTGGGCGCGGCGAAAGCCCTGTTCGATTCCATGCCCCAGCGGGACCTCGCGGCGTGCAATCTGATCATCGCGGCGCTCGCGCAGCGCGGATCCATCGACGCCGCACGACGAATCTTCGATTCCATGCCGGAATGGGACGTGGTTTCGTGCACGGCAATGCTCGCGGCATTCGCGCGCAACGGGCTGCTGGAAGACGCGAGGCACGTCTTCGGTTCCATCCCTGCCGCCAACGTCGTGACGTGGACCGCCATGCTGGCGGCGTATGGACGGAACGGCCACCTGGATACCGCCCAGTGCCTGTTCCGTGGCATGCCCGTCGCGAGCACTGTGACGTGGAACGCCATGCTGGCGACATTCGCGCACGCGGGGCAGCTGAACCAGTTTGCCACGATAGCGCCAATGCCTGATGTGGACGTGGTGACGTGGAACACCGTCCTCGCTCACACGGGCGACCTCCAAGACGCTGGGCGGATATTCGCCACAATGCCCGAGAGGGATTCCAGCTCGTGGAACGCAGTGCCTGTGATGTATGCTCAAAGAGGGCATATCGAAAAGACGCTGGAGCTTTACTGGGCGATGCTACTCCATGGCTTCCAGCCGACCGGAGCTTCCTTCCTGTGTGTTCTTCTCGGTTGTAGCCATGCCGGCGACGTCGATCGAGGCTTGAGCTACTTTCGATCGATGAGACTGGATCACGGCTTTGATGTTCGCAAGGAACACTTTAGCTGCATGGTTGATCTTCTGTCTAGAGCTGGACACTTTGTCGAAGCCAAAGAACTCGTCCAGACCATGCCTTTTGTTCCAAAGATCCAGGATTTCACCTGTCTGATCCGAGGTCCCAGCAGTGGCAGCACTGTCCACGAGAGCGAAATGATCGAGCTGGACGAGAGCAATGGCGCACCTTATGTTCTAACTCGCGAGATCCTACAAAGTACGCGAAGAAACTTATTGGAGCTGTGATCAAAGACAAGAAAAGTATGTCCAGCATTATTCGACGTAAGAGAAGAAAAGAAAAGAGAAAGCAAGTTCGATCGAGAGAACTAGCTTCATACCTCCGATGCCTCTCATCGGTTTTGCTTCTCCCACCAATCGAGGAACTTCTTCTTTGGCTCCGTTCGCTTGAATTTGTAAAGACCCAGCGCGAAGTTTGCTAGCTCGCCTCCCAGCGCCATGCCGACGAATCCCCCTCCAAGAATCGCCATTGCAGTGACTGCGGAGGAAAAGATAGAACACCAATGAATCAATTTTTCCATCGAAGGATAACTTTACTTCGTGGTTGCTTGCCGAGCGCGTGAGACATGAATCCAGTTCCAACAGCGCCTCCGGCAGTGCCGGCGTAGCAGAATAGCTTCGCGTCATTCATCTTTCGGAGCTGCGGAGGATCGATCGGGGTAGAATCGGTGGCATTTCGATCGAAAAATCTTACCTGAGGCCCGTAGACTGGATCCGAGGCGATGAACGTATCCACATCCTTCTTGGTGTATGGCGGCAGTGATTTCGCCCTGAGCAGCACTTCCTTGAGATCGCGGAAGGGATCCTTGAGCACATCCATTCTCTCTCCCTCTCAAGAACCCTAATGTCGCTTTTTTTTTACTTCTAGGGCAAAGTTTAGGGCAAATTTGGGCCCCGTGGGCGCAAAATCTAGCATTTCTTATACGGTAGCCATGGCTTAGGTTGGGAGCTCCGCGAAACGATCGATCGATCGAGGCGCGAGAGAGGATGTTCTCGCTCTTGTATGGATTGTGGAAGTATCTCTTCAGCAAGGCGGAGTTCCACGTTTTGATCCTCGGCATTGACAAGGCGGGGAAGACTGTAAGCTCTCCTAGAACCCTGATTCTTTCACTTGTCGTGCTCGCGATCTCGAATCTGAGCTGAATTCTTTGCTTCTTTCACGATCTAGACATTGCTGGAGAAGCTTAAGACTATCTACTCGGATTTCGAGGGCCTCCCGCCGGATCGAATCGTCCCTACTGTCGGCCTCAATATCGGCCGTGTGGAAGCTTACAAGTCGAAGCTTATTTTTTGGGATCTAGGAGGACAGGTCGGTCTCGCGAAGAACTTTGGTTTTTGCTCTGGTTATCTGCTTGGATGTGATTTTTCGTGTGAAATGCAGCTAGGCTTGCGCACGATCTGGGAGAAATATTTCGAAGAAGCTCATGCGATTGTTTTCGTCGTGGATGCTGCAAACCATGCTCGATTTGACGACGCAAAGTCTGCTCTTGGTACGTTATATATAAGCTTTCTTCGTTCCCTTTCCATTCTTTCTTTCTTAGAAGGATTTTTCTTTCGTTATGTTGTAGAGAAAGCTCTGAGGCACAAGGATTTGCAAGACGCACCATTGCTCATTTTTGCCAACAAACAGGCAAGTGCCTACATACTTTTGTTCGATTTTCTTCTAAGTTCATCCTGCTTTCCAGGACGTACAAGGAGCTGTAACAGCGGACGAACTCACCACATTCTTGGACTTGAAAGAAATCGACGAGAGACCTTCGTTTGTGAAAGAAATCTCCGCTTATGACGGGTACACCTTTGATCTCTTTGCATGATTTGTTTTCTTTTATCACGTCGAAAGCTCTGTCTCAGGACTGGCATCAGAGACGGGGTAATGTGGCTTGTTGAAGAGATGAAGCGAAGCAAGCGTTCAGAGATGCTTAGGCAGCACTCAGATATTAATGTGGTTGTGTAAAAATTTTTCTTATCTGAAAATAAGTTATTCGTATCAGAATTGTGAGTTAGTTTGAGGCAAGTTTGGGTGCAATATGGGATAATGGATATATTTAGAATATGTTTAAATATTTTGGCACTATTTTAATAGTTTGTGAGTGTATAGAATATGGAAATAGAATATAGAAATTTGCATATTAATCAATATAGTGTATGCTTTAAAACCAATGCAATAATTATCAAAATCCCAATACATTAATATTAATTTATGGCATTGTAAATATACATTTGGACCTTACATTATCCCTTCTTCTTAGAAATATGGAAGATATTTAAAGTTTTCTGATGAATAAGCCTAGATCTAGAGGAACATCAAGAGGAGGCATTGGTAGATTTGTAGGTGGTGCCAATTTTTCTTGATCCCTTTATACGAAATATTTCAACTATTACACAGATACAATTTATGGAGGATTAACATTTTGAATATCATGCCAAGCCTCATAAACTTGTGGTCTAACTTGCCACAACACTTGATATAGTCCCTTGCACTAAACAATAAACCCTTTAGACAAACCATATATTATAAGACTAGGAAAACAAACAAATTAACACCAAGTCATTCACTTTATACTCTGCAGATGGATAATGATGTGAATTGTAGCACCATTGTTGTCCCATTTATATGCAGCTTAGGTGTTTGGCAAAACTTTACTCGGATTAGTGGAAGAATGTTTGTCAAATATTAATCCCAAGATGTAACATTAACACTTTATGGCAATTGCAAAGGTAAACTCAAATTCGTTAGCAGTATTAGATCATGACTATATAAGAGTTTATATGGTGAAGCATTAATAGAACTCTACAACCTTATAACATACACATACTGAAGAGGCAACAAATAACCATCCTAATCCAAATGCTAAAAGTTCACGTACTTTATGATTATCCCTTTGAAAGTCCAAATGAACCATTTCACCAAACCGTTTGATTGTGGATGATAAACATTTGTGAAAGTGTGGCATATCCTCAGCCAAGATGTTAAAACATGAAATGCCTCAGCTATAAATGCAGGATTATTATCCAAAAGAGTTTGTTTCAAATAGGAATACTAGAATATCACTCAATTGAGGAGGAAGTATCCAATAATAATTGTAAATGCATTAGCAAGAGTATTGACTTCCACTTAGTAAGGCAAGTAGTTAAAAACAATAATGATATACTTATTGCCAATAGTTGACCATGGAAAAAGCTTCATACACCACCAACTTAAATGGACGGGAAATTGCAATTGAATTCAACCATGAGCTTGGCACAAAATGCAACTACACATATATTAGGTAACATTATATTTCATCTCTAGCCAATAAAAGACCTACACAGTTTTTCAGTCATACGACGATGTCTCATATGCCTATTTAGAATCATGGTAGGTGTGAAGAAAGAGTGGAATAAAGATCGAAGGCACCATTAGCCATAAATAATCATCAGGACCCGTCCTCATAAAATAAAGAAGGTGGTTCTCAAAACAATATTAAGAATATAAATGCCAAATCATGAACAAGTGATGCAAAATTTTCAAATCCATCGCAAAGCGTTTGGATTCATAGCTCAACCTTTTGAGCCTTATAAACCTCGTCAAGAGAAGGTAAATCATGCTTTACACCTTATGAACATTGAACATAAAATATAGTGACAATCGATAGCATGGAATGTTGGTCCTAAAACTTCATAGATGCTAAAACAATAAACTCATCAAAAACATGAGAAAAGAGTGAAGAAGGAAAAAAAGCTTAAGGAAGGGCATCAACATTAGCCATAGAACTCCTTGGACAATAAATAACATCGAAATCATATATTTAAAGTTTCAAAATTTACCAAATAATATGATCAACTAAGTTCTTCCGCTTCACTAATAAAGTAATAGCGGCATGATCACCTTTTAGTAATGTTCAAGAACCATATAAATATGCATAAAGTTTTTGAACTATTGCTAAACACTCATTCTCTGTCATTGAATAGTTCATCTTTGCTGGTTGTAATGTAAGATTGATGTATGCAATGGGATGGCATTGACCATGCATACTCAGGCATCAACACATCTCCAAGATTGATATTAGAAGCATCTATATGCAAAATGGAAGGTTGAATATAGTTAGAATACTATAAAATTGGAGGAGTTGTTAACAACTATTTGAGATTTGTAAATGTCCACTCACAGTCTATAGACAAAATGAAAAATGACGTTAACAACTTCAACAATGTTCGCAATAGTGCAGTAAGATTAAAAAATATTATCAATTAAATAGTTGAGATATTGCACCTTGTTTAAGGAGTATTATATATCATCCACAAACTTTGGAGTAAAGAACTTAAGAATAGACATAAGTTTGTCAATATCAACTTGCAAACCTTCACAAGAAATACATACCCAAAATAAATAATGTCCTTAGACCCAAACACACATTTTGACTGCTTTAGTTTTAAACCAACTTCCCATAGCCAATTTAACACTTTATGAAGATCACAAATGTGTTCCTCTCATGTTCCCTCTAAGTGGATCAAGACATCATCGATGGAATCAGCAATCATCTTTGGCATATTGCAAAGAATCTCGTCCATCATTTTTTGGAAAGTCATTAGAGCATTATTTAAATCAAACAATATCACCAACAACTTATATAAACCAAATGGTATACAAAAATCAATCTTTGTAATATTTTCCTCAACCATTGGCACTTATTAGTACTTGGAAGCAAGATATAACTTAATCAAACCAATGGTACACATCATCCCCAGGATTCCCATAGAAGAACTCTAATTAGACACGAGGATTGACAACAAGAGTAAAAGGAATTGTACCATGCATTATGAATGCCACTATCAATTGAGTTTGTTCAACTACAACCGCATAACATCAACAACTGTAGCAATTGCTACTCTAGAGTCAAAGGAGGAGGAGGGTGCTATTCTGTCATGAAGATGAATAAAAAAGAAAAAGCAAAAAAGAAAAAATTGAAAAAGCTATGAAAAAAGTAAGATCTAAGCAATGCAAAAGCTAGGTCTAAACCAAAATCCCAAATCCAAGCACTCTTTAAGGATAACTAAAGCTACCCTTCACCTCCACTAATGTGAGTGCATGGAATATGAAAATGGGATATATATTAATTAACCCAAAAATCCTAACTTATATACAAGAGCAAGTGGTCTGGATTGAAATTAATCCAATAGCTATCAAAATCCCATTATACTAATATTAATATATAGTATCATAGCCATACACTTGGATCTCACAAGTTGATATTCATTTAAATTAATTTTATGTTTATTAAATAAATAATATAAATACGTTCATAATCTATAAATATAGGATTAATCTTAACTCATTGCTAATGCTTCCACACTTCCATCATTATTTGGATGCACGAACTCGAATTGTATGCCTTCTAGCTTAGGCTATGCCAATCATGTTTCCATTGGGATTCCTTATCAACCATTATAAATTAAAATATATTTTCTATTAAACACCATTGATTAATTACACCCCACAAAATGCCCAAAAGCAATAAGAAGCTAGTAGAAGTTCCTTTTCTTTGGATAAAGATTACCAAACAAGGATTACCAAATGCCACTGTGCTAAGTTAAAATTTTCTTTCTTTTCAAGGATCTTTTAATTAAATAGCACTTAGTGGCCACTACCCAAGTATAAAATGTAATAGTATTCCAATTTTTTTCATATTGTTTTTGTCAAACAAAATTATCTAGAACTTTTTGTGGTGCTATCAATCTCTTTACTTTTAGATTAAATTCTATATTATAATAATATATATTATTTTAAAGAAAAAAAGTTAAACCAAGTGTTCCTGCAATACAAAGCATAGCAAATTAATTTTTAATTCTTAAATTAAAAAACTTAATTAATATTATCAAACAGTAAAAAACACTCCTAGTGAAAAAATAAAAAGAATTTCAAAAATGTATGGTAGCTAGCAAAAGACTTAAAGGCCTTTAAGAGAATATCTCGAATAAAGTTTTGAGCACAAAGAAACAAAAAACAATTGGTGAAAGTACACTAGTTACAAGACAACACTAATGTCTAAGGTAGCCTTATGTCAATTAAAAGGGCTAGATGTCTCTCCCTTTGGAGGAGATATTGAAGTTTTATGATCCACTTTAAATGAGGAGGATGCCGTGTGTGAGGTAGATGGGGAGATCACAAATGGTGTGGATGTGGATGGAGAAGACGCAATCGTACGCCTACAATGGCTAGAAAGCAAAGCATAGCCAGCACTGCCAGCATGGCTGTGCTGAGGATATCTTGCTTCAAGAGTTGAGACATTGTGGCAATGTAAATCTTTGTGAAACTTCAAACAAAGCCAAGATGCTTCATCATTACCACCACCACTGCACAATCTAATGCATGCTGGTGCTTCTTGCAAAAAATAATTATTAAGTATAACTCTAGCACTAGCATTTGTTATAGGCACTCCATAATCGTCATTGTATCAATTGTTTTCTTAAGATGTAAAATATTTTGTTTTGTGGGAGATGGCCACTTCAAACATATCCCCAAACTCAAAAATATACTCTTTATTTAACTTTTTTTGTCAATGTGGAGTTCAGACACCTTGAATTTGCAATAACCCCTAACCAATGAGTTAAACTATGCAACCCTTTCAACCATTTAATTTGTGGGCATCAAATCCCTTGAAGCTTTGAAATGCCCCACTAATTGTCTCCAATTAACTTCCTTATGGCTATATTTACAATACATAAAGATGTAAATATGTACTTACCTACTAGATATCCTTTTAATCCTCTGGTGCAATCAGCATTCTACCTTCTTAACAATTAGGATATCCATGTTAATTCCAGCTTCTCCATCACAAACCTTGCCATATCACTTATATATTTTCTACTTTTCCTTCATGATGTCTAGTGTCAAGTTCTTTCTTTCTTTAAAAAGGCCAACATGAACCAAATCAAGTAGAGTTATATAAAATGTTTTAAACTGATAGCATAATTTGGCCCATATATCCTTTTTCTGTAAGCTCTTATAAGCTG